CCCACATTAGAAAAAGGCGGTACATTTGCAAGTAGATAGGCTATTCAGCAAAATGCCAGCTCTTTCACCAGTTACTTCCCTGAACGGGAGACGTTCCTATGAGATGCTGGATGTCTGCTGCCGTTTCCCAGAGGAGATCAGTGCCAGAGGGCGTTGGTCTGTTTTCTGAAATGGAGTGACAGAGTTCTCCCTATGTGTCATGAGTGCTTTTGGTAAAATTAGATTACGGCCTGTCCATAACAATAAAGGCCATACCCACATGCAGCTTACATAGTTCATACGCTTCCTGGAGCAAAACCACAGCAACGTTCAACTGTCTGTTTTCTTTTTTTATTTCCACAGTGGCTCCTGCTCCGAAAGCAGGTATCGGACCGTTGGGTCCCGCTGCCACTGACAGCCTCTGGGTGACCGAGGACGCAGCCTGGTCCAGGCAGGATATATTCATCAGCTAAGCAGTGTAGTGCAGACAGGGTTGGCATCGTTCTGTGCCAGTGGTGAGGCTCCAATTTTTGTAGTTAATTGTTTAAGCAACAGCAAATGATGTTGCTCTGATGATCTGTGTGCTTTTCTCTATTAGACCTGATTTGTATGGTGAGGACAGGCTACTGGAAGGAAGAGAAGGGGTTGAATTATCCCCTGTGACTTTGCTGAATTTGTCCTTGTGAATGGGAAGAGAGTGAAATATTTGTCTGCAGGGGGGAGCAGGGTGGTAACTGTCAGGAACAGCTGGAACATATATACTGTGTCATGTCTTTTTGTGATACTGGGCTTTTCTGCTTGCTGTGGGAATGCTGCAGAGGCATGTTAGCATTTTGCTGAGTAAGTGTGGTGCGAGCTCCATATGTAAACAGGGCTCAGTCACTAGATGAGAGAAAAGGGCTGTTCTCCCAGGGCTAGGGCATGCACCTCAATCTTCACAGCCCCTGCGAGGTTTTGTAAATTCAATGTGGGGCTAGATTCTGAGAAAAACACATGCTTGTGGGAATGCCAGTCTAGATAACCCCAGTGTCTCTTCCAGCTTCAACACCTATAAATTTGTGAACAAAATAAATCCTCCTGATGCTTCCCATCCTCAATTAGCACATTTGTTCTTTTCTGTTTTATTAATAGTCAAGTGTTGTTTTTCTCTGAAACATCAGTAGCCTAAGTTAGGAAGGGAGAGGAGTAGACCAGTACTTTCACGCTGAGCAGAGAATTCTTCTTAGGTATTTGGCTGATGTGGGTTGCCATTCAGGGTTAAACTGATCGTGCTTACTCTGATCTTTGCTAGTGGCACGTATGAGGTCAGTCTGGTGAGGACAAACACTCTGACATGATCCAAATAAAGAGAGATTCTTGACATTTGATTAAGACATATCAGAACGTGAGAGACCTGTACAATTTGTATAGAACAGAGAATGATTTTACCTTCTAGGGTTTCAATTTTCTGTTTTACATTTTATTTATCTTTACTTTCTCTGTAATTATGTCTACAGTTCATAACTATGAAGGCTTCTCAGCTTATGACTTTATTCTAGGAAGTATCACATCAAGAAACAAATTCTCTCTTGCCAGTCTTTGAAGGTTTGCTAAGACTGTCTCTGATCTCATATGGAAAGAAAGAGAATTTTATCCTAACTGCAAGTCATTTCCCTTTGGGTTTTTTCAGTGGTCAGTCATTTTTAAGAATATTCCCATAGCTCTCCCTACAGCAGATTTGGAGAGGCAGGCACCACTGGCTGATGTTACTGTTACCAAGCAAACCCCAATCCCTTTCAACTATGCAATATGTATAAAATAAAAGCTTAAAAAGTGAGACAAATAAACCTAAGCAAATGTATGCAATTCTACACTTTCAAGCCTTTCAGCATTGCAGTAATATTAAGAAAATAATTTTTATTTTTCCACTATTTTAATTGGGTTTTGCCAGTGATTTCAGCGTATATATTCAAAACATACTTGAAGTCCGAAACTAAATGCTAATGGATAAATTCAAAAGCGGGTACTAAAATAGAACACCCAAAGGGTTTTGCAGAAATGTTCAGCCGAAATCAATTTTTCTTTGCTCTTCTTTCCCTTCACTTTCCATTCTGTTTCCAGCCTCAGCTCACTCTCTACATATGTCTTCAGCTGTAAGATTTTTGAAACAAAGACCCTGTCATTCACCATTATGATGACAGATTTAAGTAAAGAACTTTATAATTTAAAAGGGGTTGAAAAATATGTGCATGGAGCAGGACAAAAGTGAAATCCCACTTCTTCCATCAGGGCTACATACCATTAATTTTTAAGCCTGCTATTGTCGAACACATAGGTGAGTGACACATTCTAAGCACAATGAAAACCATTAGGGCAAGAAAATAACTTTATTTGCTCTTTTAGTGTTTGGAGCACAAATACCAAGAAGGCACAGCAGCTTTCATAACAAATACGTTAACCCCCACATGCTCTGCTTAATTATGATTTCTGGCTTCCTGTATTTCCCCTGAGGCTACTGGCACCATAAGTAAACTGGCACAGATTTTATTTGTTCTGAATATGCTGAGCTGCAACGTGCAAGTAGTTGGGCAGGTGCTTCACAAACAAGTGAGCCGTTCCAGCAGTGAGGACAGGAGCCGTCTGACAGTGGAGCGACACATATAGCAGGGAACAGAATCGACATACCCCTCCCTATCACCATGGCTACCACTCAGCAGGCTTTTTTTTTTTTGGCAGAAGTGCCAATTTAAGCAAATGCTGATTTCTTATTACTGCCCCTGCATCACCCCCTCCGTCGGTCAGGTATGAGTGTATAGTAGGCCACAGCATTTATCAAATCAGAAAACTAGTCCTGGTCCAGATGGAAAATAATCTCTTTTTTTTTTTTTGACTCATTCTTTTCCAGACAGTCAGTTTTCTGATTCAATTCACCCTGTAGCCACACAACGTTCTGTGCCTGTGTAATGGAGGAGATGGCAGAAGGTCAGGGACGAGTGGCTTAGGAGATAGGGGCTACTGGTGATTTAAGCAGCATTATCACTGACTGCAAGCAAAAATGGAGCCGGAGCTCTCTTTAAGGCTGTGGTTTGGTGTTCAGTGTTTAGATCTGTTTGGCCATCCAGGTTCCTTACCACCCTGACCTGCCCCCTCCCCATCTCCTCTGCTCCCTGGTTATGCACAAGGAACCTGTGGGGGAACCCACCTGCCTGAAGAGTGATCCAGTAAAACGTGGGTATTGTTATCACACTGTAGGGATGACACATGAAATATATCACAATTGATTTTGTTTTGGCAGACTAATGTTTTAAAGCCTTCAGGTTTAAGGCTATCAAATCTGTCAGAATGACACAGTCAAGTCACATGCGGAAGGAAAGTGTGACTTTCCTTCCCTGAATAAGTTCCATGGCTGGATGCATCTCTCCAAGGAGAAGTGTTACAAAGCCTTGTTCACAGACCTGTTATTTAACACGTGAAGTTGTTAAAACATCACTGTGGATAAAGGATATGTGGACCTGAGTGAAGGTGGTAGTAGCATGTCAGCTTGGGAATTAAATAATATTGGAAGGCTGCATGAAAGTCACCCTCAAACAAAAACCTATCTAGAGAACTCAGAGCACATTTGAAATAAAGTGCTTATAGTTTATCCATGACAGTTTTCATTTATGGTGAGATGCTTTTTAGACCAGTGATAATGTAAAACACTAGCAACAGAGATGCAAGGAGTTTATACAGAATTATTTATATCGTTATGTAAATGTACATAGGGTATATATTTATATATTATACATGATTTATAGTACATATACTATCAAATACATGTTGCCACAACATTTTGACTTAAATCTTGAAAGAAACCCAAGCCTGGTTTCCGGTTTGTCAGATCCCAGCAGTGACACTGCAAGCCATTGTGCCAAAGAGCTCCAGCACAGCTATGAAAAATTCTGTGATAATGTGAAACTCTCCCCCAGGCCTCACACTGCCCACCCCACCTTGCAGCCTCAGGCTCCACCGCGTGTGCTGTGCCTCGGCAGAGCCGTATGAGACGCCTCAGAAATTACAGACTCATAAAACCCAGTGAAGAATTACTGCGTCCACTTTAAATCTAAGTCAAAGTTATGAGCAACTTCTTAAAAATGAACACAAGCTGCCCTGTCCTTGACAAGCCAGGAGTTTCCCACCCTGGAGAGAGACACTAACTCCAAGGATATCAGCGACGTTACGCACTCTGAGCTCGTGTTTTTCAGCTGTGACAGTGGAATGGCAGCCTGTCTCCCCAAAGTCATAGAATCATAGAATCGTCTAGGTTGGAAGAGACCCTTGGGATCATCGAGTCCAACCATCTACCCTACTCTACAAAGTCCTCCCCTACACCATATCCCTCAGCACTGCATCTAAACGGCCCTTAAACACATCCAGGGATGGTGCCTCCACCACCTCCCTGGGCAGCCTGTTCCAATGCCCGACCCCTCTTTCGGTGAAAAATTCTTTCCTAATGTTCAATCTAAACCTACCCTGTTGGAGCTTGAAGCCATTCCCTCTCGTTCTGTCACTAATTACCTGTGAGAAGAGACCAGCACCAACCTCTCTACAGTGTCCTTTCACATAGTTGTAGAGAGTGATGAAGTCGCTTCTGAAAAAGTCTGTTTCTAAAAAATCTGCAATGATGCCACCAGAAAAGTCAAGTTTATTCACAGTATATTCATACAGGGGACCGAAAAACCTTTAAATCCACAAAATGGAGCAGTTTGGCAGTCGCGGACCGGGCAGAGGGTGGAAGCTGTGGTGGCCGTTTCAGCGGGGACAGAGGCCGGCAGATGTGCGGGCTGACACCGCCCGTCGCCAGGCCAAAAGCCCTTCTCCCGCCCCCGGGGCCAACCCCCCCCCGCTGATCCCCGACTTCCCCGGGGCCGGGGCAGCCCTCCGGAGGGGTGCTCGCTCCCCCCCGCTCTCCGGGGCCGCCGCATCCCCGCGGCGCCGGGCGG